CAGAGGAATATTTTGAATCTATTAAACTGATCTATTTAAAGAGTATGTGAAAACTTGAAAAAATTCTATGACATAATGTTAAGTGAAAAAAGATAAAACAGTTTACATAGTATAACAAATACACATACAGTAAAAAATTTAGAAATTCACTGCATTAGTACTGACTTATGTTTGGGAATTTAGTTTATTATTATTATTATTATCATTATTATTATTATTAGCTCTAATGTCTTGGGGAACTTTTTGATTAAGAAAAAACTGCAAAAATCTGTCTGATTTGGTTGATTCAAGATTTGGCAAAGAAATAATAATGTAATGATCAAAGTTACTAGCATGCAAACTTCATAAAAGAGATATCTTTCTAATGTAAAATGACATTATTAGAAAGGAAAAAATAGCAGAAGACTAAGGAGCTGTGCTTTGTAAATTAATATAGCAAATACTTGAGAGCAAGATCCAGGGCCCAGACTGTAGGTTCTAATCCAACTCCACCTTCCCTAGGTGTGTGACCTTGGACAAGTTACTTAACTTCCCTGTGCTCCTGTTTCTTCATCAGCAGAGTGCAGATAACAAGAGTACCTTCTTCATGGGATTGTTAGGATGATTAAGTGTGTTCGGAGAGCCCCTGCTCATAGGAAGGCTGTGTATGTGTAAGTGTTATCTACCATCATTGTTGTCTTCCCATCATCCTCATCAAAGCTCAGGAGTCAGGTATCACTGGTGTTCAAAACCCATCTCTATGACTCACTTGCTATGTGACCTTGAGAAAGTTCATTTTACGTCTCATACAATAATGCAGTTTATTGTTAAAATGGGGATAATAATAAAGTCCCTGCTTCCTAGGGTTGCTGTGAGAACTAATGAACACAGGTGGATCATGTGCTTAGCACATAGCAGGAGCTCACCGAAGCGGCAGTAGGCAGGTATGGAGGGCTGATAACCATGGCAGTGGATTCTGTTTTTCTTTAGGTCTGTTTGAAGCACAAGGAAATATAGGGGTATCCAGTGAGTGGGCCAAGAGTGAGTTTGCTTTCTGCTTCTGATGGAGTAAAGAAGTTGAGGATTGATGATAATCGTAGTAGTTTATAGGTTTATATTGATTTATAGTCTTAAAAGCTCCTTACATGTGTGTTGACTGCTTATAACAGTTCTGTGATGTAGCAGACAGAAGACAGGTTACTGCTATTTACCAACTTCCTAGTTTCTCCCCCGTATTAATGGCGCACTTCAACAACTGGTGATACATATCTTCCTCTCCACTGTTTATCTAGCTGTTCTTGAATACATGGTGTTTGCATAGATGGTACATCTAGTCATTTGGACTTAAATTTCTTTGTCCTTTTCTTAATTCCATATGAACAACCAATCCAAGTGTCCATATCTTGGATCCTGTTTCCTCAAGATTTTTACCTCTACATTCTTAAATGTCAGTATTCTACTTTTTAGCCACTTATTGTATGCTTAGTAATTTACAGTTTTAACTAGTTATTGCTGATTCAAATACCCATAGCAGTTTATCCATTTTTATTCGATTTACAATGGATTAAAGTGTTTGCATGTTTAAATTTTTGTTTTCACTTTTGGTGATGCAAGAGAGTGTAATTCTGGTAAACATCATAGACTGCGAGAGGGAATTACATTTTTTTTTTTGGTGATTAAATTTAATCAGAAATATTCTACTGCAATACCTTTTGCCCCTTTTAAGTTATAGATCTCGTTTTCTAAAGAAGGGTTAAATATGTGTTAGTTGTTTTTGTAGTGAGTCTAGATAATTATAACATGAATTTTCTCACTAGTTAATGGAAGAAAAATAGTCGATATCAGTACATATAAATTACTCTAATAATTTTTAAAATAATTCTTCTACCCCTCTAAACTACTTTTTAAGGTTACGTATTAGCTCCATTTGTTAATGTACTTTAACAGCCATTTTTTTTCCTTCAGTTCATGGGGCTTTCTTAATTCCAGGAAAGAATTTTTAAATTTTTTGTTAAAATACAGTATACCTGTAGAAAAGTATACAGCTTATAAGTAAACACATGAATTTTACAAAGGGCACACACCTGTGAACCAGCTCCCAGAGCCTGGGTCACATCATCATCAGCCCCCCCTCAGAGCCCCCACTGTCCCCCTTAGTCACTGCCCTTCCCCTACCCCCACAGATGCCAAGGACATAATTTTAAAGTAAAATCTAATAAATGAATATTCCTGTTGCCTTTATTTGTTTCATCCTTGCCAATCTTTGAGTGTATTTATTCTTGTTTTTTTCTCCATTTTAAATTAAATTTTTATGTCATAAAATAACATATACAGTTTGACAAGTAGTAGCAAAAGGCTTAGATCAAAATACAGCAATTTCCTGCTATATATGTCTCCCTAGTCCTCAAGATCCTTCTCCCCAGAAGTGTTTTAGTATTTCTTTGCCATGTGCCATTTCCAAACTTCATAATAATTGTTATATACTACTATGCCTAAATCAAATTAGGTGTAATCTGTTGACCTCTTATTATAATAAATGAGGACTTAACTCTTTTATACCGGCATTTGCTCTACTTCCCTTGTTTCCCCAATATATTTACATTACATTTTTTGGTTAAGTGAATATTCTCCATTAACATTTTTTTCCTCTACAAGTAATATTCAGAATGGATATTATAGGATACTGTGATTGGGGTTTTGTGCTTTTTTGTGTGATGTTAATAATTTTCTTGGTTTTCATATTTTTCTCTCTGTTTGTAATCTTCTTGTGTAAAATCATAATCTCTTCTGCCCTCCTTGTTCTGCTTTAGTTCTGAACACAATCATTGCCAAATCCAGAGGAAATCTTCTGGTCCTGATCTTTCTCTTTCCCTGGTTTCCATAACATCACCTTCTCCCACCTTTCTGAGCTCTCCTTTTTAGTGCATAGACCTCTGTTCATTAAATGCTCTGTTCCTTAAGGCTGATTCCTACCACCGTCTCTTTAGGCACTTCCTTAAACATTTACATTTCCCTGTACAGATTCCCAAACCACCCACACTCTTCACCAACTTTCCTCCCTCAAACACCAGCACTTGCAGGTCTGCATTTTTCTTGGAAAGAAGGCCAAAAGTTTTCTCTCCTACATTGTCTTCTCATGTAGGTGAAGTGTGGGGATGGGATGTTGGGTTAACTGTAAGATCCCAGAAAAATCAAAGTATTTTAATAATTTAGTATGCTTCATATGTACATGTTAATAACTATTTTAAAAACCATCCCTTTGAGAACATGTTAATTCTTGAAATTTTTACAGTATGATCACTTGAAACAAATAGTGCATATTCATGTAATTTCTTCTGCATTGTTACTTGCAGATTTAAAACCATGAGAGGGTTTGTAATATGAATGTCATTATTTTCAGATTTAAAACTCTACATGTGGGACTGTAATATGAATTTATAAGCAAAGATAACATTGTCCAAATAAGAAAGAAAAAGCACAGTTAAATATTCTCCTGTCTACTTTTATCGCTGTATATAATTTGGACCATGCGCCTGAGCTCACATTCCCAAAAGCATTCACAGTCCAGAGGAGCCTCAGGTCAGAATGCTCTATGGGGGACAGTGCAAGGCGTCACACTGCTTGCATTTCTCTTAGCAACACTTTTTGAAAAGGTGTGTTCATTCAGTCTGTCTTCACAAGTATTTATGGAGTCAATGCTGTGTGCCAGATGCTGTGTTAAACACTAGTGATACCAGATGATGAAATGTGTCCTCTCCCTGAAGTTCAGAGTAAGAATAATGGTGAGGCACCCTGTCTGTTAGAACCTTGCCACGTAAAGTGTGCTCTGTCGACCATCAGAATCAGCATTACCCGGGAGCTCGGTAGAAATCCAACTCTCAGTCCAAGATGGAGGGACATCTCCATCTAGGATCCTGCATCTCTAGTGAGCTTCTGGGTGATGACAATGCTGTCAGGTCCTGGGCTGCTCCGAGTAGTAAGGTGTTTGAGCACTCTCCTCGAAATTTTGGAAAGAAGGCCAAAAGTTCTTTAGGTACATCCAGGTGCCCTTTGCTGCCCACCCACCCCCCGCAGCAGGGTATGATTGAGGATGCACTTTCTGTGTCCCCAGGAAGCTGCCTTGAGATACACAGCCTCTTATAGATATGACAGATGTGCCTTGTCATAATAATTTAACCTACTGTGGGGCCGACATAACCCACCTAACAGCATCTGGGGTAGAATGTGTAAAGATCAGTGAAACCAAGAAGTTGCTAAATGGTGAGCTGACCTGGGCTAATTAGAAGGAAAAGAGATACTTTGTGGGTACCTTGCATGCCCAGTGCAAATGCATTAGCAATTTATCTGTTAACAGTGTGGAAGGACTAGGACCTCTTTGAGTAGAATTGGAATATTATCATAGCAGTGCAGGTGAAAAATGAGGCCTAACATAATGCAGGAGAGGCTGGATCTAGGATTTACTAGGAGTGTTGAATCCAATTGGTTACATGTGGCCGAAATAGGAGAGAAGAGAATCTAGGTTGGCACTCAGGTTATTGACTCTGATACTTTAGGAAGAAGAGGGATCTGGGATCTATGTTTCACTCTTGGATAGATGGAGTGTGAGGTGTTTCTGGGACATGCCCAGGAGGTGTACAGTCGTGGGGGTCTGGAGAGGAGTCTGGCCAGAGCCACACTGACACTGTCCGAGTAGATGTGGTAATATATTTGAAGCTGCAGGAGTGGACCACATCATTCAGAGAGAACCCTCAGTGTAAGAAGACAGGAGCATCGAGTATGGGGCCTGTCTAAGAAGAGCCCTCCAGGGAGCCTCCAAAGGGACACCAGAGAGGCAGTCAGTAGCATGGGATTCTAGAGGTGGTCCAGGATGGCCTGACTTGTAGCTTTAAAAAGCTTAAGGGTGATATTATAGCAGGGGTCTCAGGGCTTTCACTGCCGTCATCAGCGATGAGGGTGAGAGCAGCCCTTTGTTATTGTCTGGTGGTTTCTAGCTCACCAGTTTCTTCTGGGCCTTTTTTAAGGTTCTTAGAATTCTGGTGAGGGCAGTGATTGATGAGATGACTGATCGGAGCGGAGGTAATGCAACCAGCCTCAAAGGAAAGCTGCAGGAGTTACTTGGTAGAGTAACTTCAAGAGTGACAAATGATGGAGAAATCTGGAGGCTGTATGCACAACTATATGGAAATGGGCAGAGTGAAAAGCCAGATGAAAATGAAAAGGTAAGTCCTTCAATCTTCCTGGGCTCCATCTCTTGTCTGACTGTATGTGTAGTGGATCTGTTTGTTTTGATGGTTGGAGGAAGAGTTTAATAATTTGACAGATAAGATTAATATGCTCAAGTTTTCAGTTTTGATTGAGAATCCTTAACATAAACACTTTGAATTGAGAACACATTAAGACTTGTAAGCATTCATCTTCTTTCTTTCCATGAGTTTTTCTATATAATTAAGACCCTGCCAAAGGGTCTCTCTAAGCTGCCAACCCTCCTGGAGCTCCAGCAGACTGCTGGCTCCCATTACTTACTCTGCACCCCTTTCTGCAGGCTCATTGCTGAAGACTACATACGGTATATTGGGCACAAGGATGAAACAGTATTTAGATCTGAGATGGGACCTATGAAGGTAAAAAGAAAAAGGAACTAGATAAGAATATTGGAGAAGAGTTTTTAAAATCTAAACATAAAATGCTTTATAGAGGCTACCCTGCCCCTTTCTCACAAGGGCAGTAGAGCAGCAGTTACACTCAAGCTCAGCCTGTAGCCTCCTCTTATCTTAGAACTTAAAGGAGTCTCCAGGAGTTGCCACGGTTGGTATAATTACTTTGTGGTCTTTTGAAAACATCCACAACAAATCAAATATACTCCTTGTGTGAGTTGGGAATTAGCCACAGTCCAGCTAATCTGTGGGGTTCTTAACCATTCTTTCCTCCCTCCGTCCCCCCAGCTGGCTCCTACCATGGTGCTGTCAGCCTTGAGAGCACATCTTCACATGCACGCACACACTCCTACTTTCTGTCCTGCATTTCTTCTGAATTATGTACTCCCTTGCATATATGGAATTAAGGGTATTCAATTCTCCCATCTGTGAATTTTCCCTCAAGAATGCACAAGGATAGGGTTATGAAAGAGAGTGTTTTAAACTTCTATGAGTTTACACACCTCTCATTAATTCTGTAGTTTTCACCAAGTTCACACCTCATTCTCTTAACTTGTCTCTTGCCATCAAGCTAATGACAACAAATGCTAAGGAAAAGTGTATACTTCTTACAGAGTTCCAAAGTTGGCATTTATATTTTCTGTTGGAGGGAAGTGTTTCTATCCAGATACATTCATTTGATGTCTTTTAATTGCTTCTTGCTGTTAAGTGTGCATCTGTATCCCTTTTTTGATGAGAATAATAGAGACTGTACTGCATAACATAGATGCTGGCTTTTCAAGTTGGAATTAGTTCCATATGACTTCCAGGAAGCAGAGTTTAAAATATGAATTCTACTTGTTATTCTGAATGTTGTTCTTTTTCTTTCCTCAGGCATTCCAGTATCTCTCTAAGGCATACAAGTGTGACACACAGTCCAGTTGCTGGGATAAAGACATTACATCATTTAAGGAAGTGGTTCAGAAAGCCTTAGGACTTGCACATGGTATTTGATGTAACGTTTGATGGCCATGCCATATTTTAGTGTACTCTTATTAATAAGAAAAAGTATTAGGTCAAAAGTAAAGTTCCACTATGAATAATTTCAGATTATTTCATTATATTGAAATTACTATATTTAATTTAGCAAACATTTATGGAGCAACTACTATGTAGTAGGCACTTTGGAACAAGAAGAAATAGGTTAGAGTTTAGATGCTGTTTGAATAAATGACAGGTATTAGAAACTTTAGAGATGTGAAATACCTTTACAGCTGTGTTTTGTCTTCACATTACACAGTCTGTCTGTGTCGATTAGATACTATTAAAGGGAATCTGTTAACTTTTCCTGACTCATATTCTTCCTTACAAATAAAATATTTAGTAAAAAAAAAAAAAATACATAGATTTCTGGAGTACATGGCAGTATACAAAGAACAACAGCATATATACAAAAGAAAGAAAAAATACAATCTAATCCTTATGTTTGAGAAATTTACTGGGTGATATTTGAGGGATGGATAACTTTATATATAAAATTGTATAACAGAATTACCTATTAGGTAAATATATTCCAGGTAAAGGCTGCTTTTAATTATTTGTATTAATGAAAAATACACCAGTTAAATTTCATAATTTTGTATTTATATTTGAATATGGATGTGTCATGCCTTGGGAATGCAGTTCAAATAAAGTAATGAAGCCACAGTGTTAAGAACTGAATTTACCAAGGGCTGTGAGCTTGTTCTAAAGTCCTCTTCTAACTTTTTCTGCAACTAATAGTTACAGCAAATAGGGAGCCCATGAAGGACAATAAAGAGGGTAGAACTTTGGAATCAAGGAGACTTTAGCTGGAGAATCAGCTCTACCACATTCTTGCTAGGTACTTTGGGTAAATTAAGTTCTCTGAGCCTTAGTTTCCTCATCAATAATATGGAGATAATTTCTGCCTATGGTTGTTATTAAGAATAAATAAAAACATATTTAAACACTTAACAGTATCTTATGCATAATTTAATGTTAATCTATCACCTTCTCACCCCCACCCTATTCCTTCTGGGGTAGAGATCAAAGCTGTATAATAAGGGACTCAAAACTACAAAGAGAAAAATGAAGAATAAGAATAGAGTTTGACTTGCCTCTAAAGAAGTCACAGAATGTTCAAACAATTTAGAAATGTGCCTAGTTAATAATTCTACTTATGGCCTTTGGTTATCATTGACAAAAAAGATATAAAATCCAATTTCCTGGGCTACCACTTGACAGATAAAGTAGAAGTGCTAAATTCTCTGTAGCTGAGTTTTCAGTAGAAAAGTTGAGGTAATTGCTGATAGAGCAGTGGAAGTTTAGGGTGGCTAGAATTTATGTGGCTTGTGTGGCCTCATGATGGGTGGGCTGAGATAGAGTCAGTCCCTGTGCCTTTGGCCTTTGTGGCTGTAGTACCATGTTTGGGGAAACCTATGCTAAGGAATATTATATACATAATTATAGCAGGGTCCAATTTACTTTGAAGAATTTATCTTATCTACCTCAACTTGCCAACCATAAACATTTCTCTTAACAGCTGGCTCTATAACAGCAAAGCCAAGATATTTACTGTAATCACTAAGTGGGTATTAAGCCTGTCAAATATAAATATGCAGGTTAAAGAAATACTGTAGGAACAGTCTTCACTTTGCATATTAAGTTGGTTTTAAACTATTTTTGGTACTTTTGTCATCAGGGCAGTACTTGGAGAAAAACAAATGTCTACTAAGTTGCCCTTTGACTTTAATGAGTTGTATGTTGCTCCTACAATGTTTTAAGCTTATTTGAATGGATGCTTAGTTTTAATTTCTAGTGATATTTTGGATTTATAAAGATAAATATTAACCTTTTCTTTGTTGCTTTTGTATAGCAGTGTTCAACTGAAGAATGAACTGGGTTTCTCTGTTATTCAATTCTCTTTTATGTCTTTCTCTCCAACACTGTTCTCCACCTCACCCAATTCTGAAAAAGAAATATAAAGAAGTTTTACAGAATGCCCATATTCCCTTTTGGGTTGATATTTTTAAGAGTCACCATGTACTTCAGAAAGCTTGATAATACATGCACTCTCTCTATATAGTGTTCAAGACCTTTCTATAACAATGTTGTCATTGTATACCCATTCTTATTGTCTAAAGGGAATTAATTTACAGTCTGCTGTTTTTCTTTCTGGGAAAGGGTGGGCCAAAGCTCCTTCCTTCTTTGCCATCCAGGAATTTTAAAATAATAGTTACGCATTTAAAGTACAGTCTGCTTGGAGGAAGCACTGTAGCTTCCAGGCTCTCTTGGATTTCCTGATGATTTGAAACAGCAGGTTATTTCTCTTTCTCTACTTCTCTCCCTGTCTCTTCCACCTCCCTGTCCCATTCCCTCTCCCTCTCTTCTTCTGTCTCTCTGTCTCTCTTTTATCTCTCTCTCTCTCTCTCTATCTCAATCTCTAATGCTTTTTAGAAATGAGCTTGAGGAAAGGGGACTAATAAAGTGTGTGTCTTTTTGCTGTATTTTTATTTTTCTCAGGATGGAAACAAAGGATTTAAAAAAGAATCACAGCTGTTTCTGGTATAAGTTACTAGGTATTAAACAGCCAAATACCTCAGCCATGGTACTTAGAATTTTCCTCTTCTAAGAGGCACAGATAATATTATCTCCAGGTTAACTGCCTTTTGAGAATGAGTTTAACATTGTTGCATACTTTCAGCCCTTAGTTGAGAAGTGTCAAAGTCATTATTTTGAAATATGAATGTCAAATCTAATGCTCACCAGCCATGGAAGATATTAATTAATGACAAAACTATTTTGTCAGGCAGACAACTCCCACCAACTGATGAGAGTTTTCATGCAGAACAATAGTATTTTATGTCCCCGGCATATGATCTGGGGTACTAAGTAGACTTTAATTGTTGAATTCTTTAATGTAGTTTTAAAATAGGGTTTAGTTATTGGTCTGTTTGTAGTGAGCATAATTTAGGAGGACAAAACAAAAACAAATCAGTGGAGAGATACCAGGATTATATTTTATAAAACTCTTCACTCTTTCTTACAAAGCATTAAAAGCTGGGCCTTCTGCTGGGGAGAATTATGCCCTCTTCATAATTTCAGGTTTTAGGAAAATGGTCTCCCCCAGAACACTGGAGTCAGAAATGTTGGGGATGTGTGCCTTCATTCTCCCCCACGCCCTGCTGATGCCGAGCAAGGCTCAGCAGCCTGAGATCCTGGCTGTGACCATGTCCCCTAAATGCAGGCACACGGGTTGTTCATGTCACTTCTTCCAGAGTGATGTGAACCCTGAGTATGAAAGTGTAGGAAGAATTGAGCTGTAACTATCTGGCCTGTCACTTCCCTCGGCTAGTGTCACAGGCAGCTGTAGAAGGTCCCTATTCAGAACTTGGTACCATGGGAAGCTACACTGAGATGTCCTGCATCTGTTTTCCCCTTCTGTAGGCACCTTGTGTTAAGTTAGATTTTGTCCCTCTTTGCTAATTTCAGTAGTCTGTGCATGTGTGTGTGTGTGTGTGTGTGTGTGTGTGTGTGCATGGTCTTCTGTAACTCATTAGAAATCACCTATTTTCCTCAAAATTCTTCTTTTAGCAATAAAGTATCCTTAAAGAAGTATATAGGGGAAAGTAATGCACATAATTATTTTCCTTTTACCAAAATAAAAGCTTTCCTTATAGAAATATTTCTGAAGTCTTATACTGTAAAATCCTAAGTGAAAAATTGTTTTTTCCCTGTAAGTTATCATTACCGATTTTTAGTGAGTGTTTTTCCCCATATTTATCTTCCAGTGGCTATAAAATGCAGTAGAAACAAATCCAGTCCTCAAGAGGCTCAGCAAGCACTTTCTTCAGTTCGACTCAACTTGCAGGGCCTGTTATCTAAAGCAAAGGTGAGAGTGAAACGTGAATTCATTAGAATTGTCACAGAAAACAGGTCTTCGGTAGCAGCTAACTGCTTTTAAATCTTCTTTCATGTCACGGGTAATTTTAGGCTCACGTTTTGTTTTAGACACCACCCCCCAGGTAGTTAGTTGTACTGGTGAGGGTATATCTTGCCCAATGGATGGACTACCCTACACGTGGATAACTTAGGAGTCTTTGAAATTAATATTTATAATCTACCCCTTAATGCTTTAAGTTAAAACAATGCTCTTCTACTTATTATAACTTTTTCCAAAATGTGGTGTATATGCCACTGGTACCACTTGGGTAAACATTTGATTTTAATATACATTTATTTCCTTGCACATTAGAAGTATAACCAGCACATCAAACCTACAATGTCATGAATAGCATTGTTTCTCTTCCATTTACAGTAGTGTTGTAAATTTTCCTTTAAAAACTTTAAGTAAATATAATTAATTTAGAGTTGAATATTAAGTTGATGGTATATGGATTTGACAAAAATTGTTAAGGTCTGGGGTGACTCAGGTTGGACAACTAAAGCATATGCTGTCCGTTTCCAAAGTCCAGCCTGTGATGGAGATGCCTGAGAATCACTGAGGGAGCTTTGTTGAAGAGTGTCCACCTGTGACAGATGACAGATCAGGTCTGGGAGCCTGGGAAATCTGGGTTACAGTTCCTAGGTGATTCTTACGTGTAGCCAGATTTGCATTATACCTCTGGAAGCAAAATTTAAAGGACTGTAACTTCTACCACCAAGTGGTACTGTCTTTTCTAATCTTTACTCTCCTTCGCTATTTAAGCCTGGGTTGCATACTAATTTTACTCCCTTCTGAAAGCAAGTCTGTGGCAAGTGAAGGTCACTTCTGGACACGTGTTAAAACCTTTCCAGGGTGTGCCTTTCTATTAATTGCTTGATTTCTTCAGACCAGGGCATCATTTTTGCCTCTTTTGAGTATTAACTTACTTTAGTGTGCTTGTTAATCTGCATGCTAGATCCAGGTTTCTATAATCTACTTGGGAGGACTGTATTTCCTCCTAGTTTGGCAGCACAGCTTCAGAATTATATGTCTCTCAGGAAGCTGCAAGAGCCCTCCCAAAGAACGTCAAGGTAGCAAGCTTTTTATGTGACTCTCCTTCCCAAATTGGAAACTAAGTTTCCTAGTTTGGGTTAGATCACTAACCTACCCATGATCGCTTATTTCTTCAGGATATGTTCTGCCAGTTCCCTTATCTCTGAGGTGCAAAGCTTTTTCTTAAGTTATTAATTTTACATAAACCTATACTTATATGATAAATAGTCTTGTCTGTGCAGGTACTGCCCATCGTTCCACATTGTGGAAGATGCCCAAACATTGAAAATGAGGCTTCAGAACATCATCTGTGTTTAGATTTTGTTCTCATTAGATCCCAACTGGCTTATCAAAAATGGGAAAAATCACTTCCAAACACCTCTTTGGAAAATGCTTTTTTGCATATAATATTTTCGAGTCTCTGATTTTGTAGATCACATGCCTGTCCTATTTTTTTTTAACAATTTGGTTTGCTCAACTGAATTGCATTACAAAAGGTACTTTTTAAGAACACTTTTAAATATTAAAATGAATCAAGATAACTGTTAAATAGCTTACAATAAGCTTGGTTTACGCAAATCTCCGGTCGTTTCTTGCCAGAAAGGACTTCATGGAAATAAACTCTTAGAGTCGAAAGACTCACCTAAAGTCATCCATCCAGTCCATGCTCTGCCAGGACAGAGTAACTCTTTGTCCCTTAGCACACTGTCACTGTATTGCTGGAGAGGGGCGAGAGGCTGTTGCTGAAAATGCTGGAGAACCTGGAGGCAGAACAGGTTTTACCACTTATACTCTTAGGGATCCTCAGCAAATTATTTATTCTTTTTAAGCCTCAGTTACACTCTATTTCCTCCTTACTTTATAGGGGAGCGATGCAGATTCATGATGGTTTGCAAGCATGCAATTCTTAGTAAAAATAAAATAGGCCATGTGAGTCCAAGTTCTTTTCCAAAAAGGTGTTTTCTTTACTGATCACATTGTAGCAGTTGTGTCATTCTGTTATGAAATGCTGTTATAGGTGTGACTATATAGTAATGTGACAAATCTTACATTTTTGAAGTTCTACATTCAAGTGAAAGCTCTTTGCTCCAAAAATCACTTGTGAAACTCTAATCTTATCCCAGTGATTATGCATACCATCCCTCAAAACATTTTTGGGACTCTGTTTTTAAAATAACTGTCAGAATAATTGTCACATGTTGTCATCTATGGTAATGGTAGTAAATAGTCATATTTTAATGGTGAATTTAATGTTTGTAAATAAATCATCTAGTCAAGTCTGATGAAAGAAGTATAGTAAGAAGAGTAAATTATATTTCTGATTAACACACACACACACACACACACACACACAAGCATACAAAAGATGATCATAAAATCCTGAAGCTGACTTTCTTGGGTGCCTATACTGGCTCAGCAGGCAGCTCCTAGAGAGGCATTCCAAAATGGTTCAGCCATGGTAGCATTAGTGAAGTATGTTGCAATATGCCCCTCAAGGCGATTCCTTGTTTTGCTTTTACAGAATCTTGATAATCTTTTTTGGCCACTGAGTCCTAAGCCATAATTAATTTTCAAATAATTAGCATAAAGGATCTGCTTTATATAAAATACATTTGTTTTTACTTGTGTAAACAATACATCAATTTGTTTTGATGAATAATGTCTATTCCTCCAAAAATCATCCTATGACATTTCAATGAACAATCAATATTCAAGGCAGCCATTTTGAAGAGCACAGCTCCCTTGAATTTACAGAATCAGGCATGTTACTTGACTCATCAGTTAATTGTTATAGCTTGTACAGTTACGGGATGGTGACCAAAACACTTGCTACCATTGCTATTACAGTGTGGTGTAATTTTGCAAAGGGAATTTCAGTTCTAACTCTATTTTAAGGGAATTTCCAATTCTTTGGTAATTATGCTTTATTCTTTATGTTGCAGCAACTTTTTACAGATGTGGCAAGTGGAGAAATTTCCATGGAGTTAGCTGATGAAATAGCAACGATAGACACCTTAGTAATAGAGCTCCGAGACCTACACAACCAGTTTCTAAATCAGTATTGACCATTGTGGGAACAGCTTCTCAAAAAGGTGCTTTCACCTTCTGGAATTTCTCTTATACTTGTGTATCTGAAACACAAAATACAGCTTTTTAAATGAATTTCTCTTGTTTGACTGTTCTTGTCTTTGTGATCTTTCCAAATGTTTGAACTTTCTGAAGTACATGAAATAAAGATGTTCCTATTTTTTTAGGTTAAGTTAGAGTTGAATTTAGTATTTTTATTATTCTTAAGATATTTCAATGCAAAGAGCAAAAATATATATAGTTTTCTGTTTAGCATAGGGTTCATTATTTTCTCAGCCTGAAATGAATTAGCTCATTCTTTGGAAAAACTTAGTCTAAATAGGGGAGGAGAAAAACATAAAAAACCCCACACACTACAAGTTTGTAGAATTATTAGATTTGGCTGCTTTATTATCCAAAAGTGATAAAAGAGTAGATTTAGTGATGGAAACCTTTATACTTCTTGAGTTTTTGTATTTGCACCAGAAGGATAGAGGCTTGGCTTAGTTAGAAATGTGGGCATGGTTTAACTTCTAAATCAAGAAAATGAAAGGAAAAAATGGCATAACCCCAATTTTGAATCAACCATTAGCCACTAGTAAGCAGGCTGACCCTCGTTGTTGTGTATACTGCCAGCCCTAAAGATGGCTGTTTAATAAGGTTATTAAGAGTGAAAACAGCTATAAATGGTGCCATATTACAAAAATGCCAAAGTAAAATGCTTGCTTAGTAATGTCTGTGGAAACATTGAAGGCAGCAGCTGAGCTTAATCATCTTACTACAAAAGTCACAGTGAGGAATTCTAAAGTCTGGCTTGGGTTGCTGAATTTTGGTCCCATGCATAAGTCATTTGAACCTTGCTTTTTTCCATGTTCTTATTTATAAAATGTGAATAATTTTTAATCATTGCTTCTTTGTGAGTTTCAACTGTCTTTGAAATTTACAAATACATAATCTACAAATGTAAGTATTATGAACTTTAATTAAAAAACAATATTTAAAGCAACAAATGCTGACGAGGTTGCAGGGAAAGGGGAACCATCCTACACTGTTGGTGGGAATGTTAATTAGTTCTACCACTGTGGAAAGCAATATAGAGGTTCCTCAAAAAACTAAAAATAGAAATACCATTTGACCCAGGAATTCCACTCTTAGGAATTTACCCAAAAGCAAGATACCTGATTCAAAGACGTATGCACCCATATGTTTATCGCAGCACTATTTACAATAGCCAAGATATGAAAGCAACCTAAGTGTCCACCAATAGATGAATGGATAAAGAAGATGTGCTACATATACACAATGAAATATTATTCAGCCATAAGAAGAAAACAAATCCTACCATTTGCAACAACATGGATGGACTAGAGGGTATTATGCTTAGTGAAATAAGTCAGGCAGAGAAAGACTAGTACCAAATGATTTCCCTCATTTGTGGAGTATAACAACAAAGCAAAACTGAAGGAACAAAACAGCAGCAGACTCACAGACTCCAAGAAGGGACTAGCAGTTACCAAAGGGGAGGGGTGAGGAAGGGTGGATGGGGAGGGAGGGAGAAGGGGATTAAGGGCTATTATTATCAGCACACATAATGTAGGGGGGTCATGGGGAAGGCAGTACAGCATGGAGAAGACAAGTAATGACTCTATAGCATCTTACTATGCTGATGGACAGTGACTGCAGTGGGGTGTGGGGGTACTTGATAACATGGGTGAATGTTATAACCATAATGTTGCTCATGTGAAACCTTCATAAGATTGTATATCAATGATACCTTAATTTTAAAAAATATTTGAAGGGTGTAAAGAGATATAAACTTCCAATTATAAAATAAATATGTCATAGGAATGAAAAGTACATCATAGGGAATATGGACAATAACATTTTAAGAACTTTGGTGACAGATAGCAACTATACTTACTGTGTGTGATAAGCACTTTGTAATGTATGTAATTGGCAAATTACTGTGTTGTACACCTGAAACTAGTATAATTAATGTCAACTATGCTTATATTTTTAAAAGACCCAGAAAAGAAATTTTTAGCAGCTTACATCACTGAATTTTGGTTATGAATGCTTACCAGTGCTTCCTTTCCTTAACCACCTGCTTCTCTTTTCTAGTATAATACTAGCTTAAAAAGTTGATACATTCCCCAAAGCAGTTTCTCTTATACAATACTATGAGAAAGGCCAATAAAATGAGGTTTGGGGAATAGGTGGTGAATGAATGGATGGAAGGAGGGAGCAAGTGAGGCTTTAAGATTAACTCCTAAACAGTAGCTAGTTGTGAACCCTAATAGAAAATGGATAGACAAACACTGAACAGGGCAGAGACTTCAGGAGTCAAATGGAAAATTAAGAAGAGTTTTCATGTTTGAGAAGTTTTTGGTTCTCAGTTTGTCCTCCTTTAGGCTCAAGGTGAACCCGGCACTTGGTGAGTGTGAGCTGTCACAAACCAAGTCCTAGAAGCACTATCCCCTCTTCCAGTCCTGTTCTCCAATGCTCTGCTGGACTAAGGCCTCCAGGATGCTGCTCTACATCCTCCTTTATCTTGTGATCTCATAAAAGAAAGCACTATTAGATGGCTACTTTTCAGGCATAGACCTCTTAATTACATTTAATAATCTTATGGGAATATTTAACATAATTGAAGAAAATGTGTGGGGAGATACTATGGTAAAGTAGAAAAAGCTTGGGTTTCGTCGAAACCTCTCTACCACTTCTGAGCTTTTAATACTTAACACTCAGGTACTTGATTTCTTTTTCTATAAAATGAATGGTGATAATAGTACCTTCCGTCAAGTTCTTAGTATCTCTTACAGCACTTTCACCCTGCTGCAGTCAGTAACACAGTATTTGTTTAAAGAACTGTATTTCATTTACTGTAGGGTCTTGGTCTTTGCATTGCTATATTATGATTCAAATGCTTGCTATTTCCAAATGCCATATCTTTTATAAATTTCAAGTTCGCTTTTCTAAGATTAATGTATTTGTTTTCAGAATTTTTTGCCTTGTCAGATCAACAAACCCCCCCCCCATCTTTGTTGAGTTCCCACAGCATGAATAATAATGCTAATAGCTACAGGTTATTGAGTTCTTACTCTGAACTCATTAGGTTTGTGAGTCACCAGGAAGGTGAAACTCTAGAAAGAGAAATAGCCAGAATTCAAAGGCTGCTCAAGTCTGTCATTCTTTCTACTTGTTATGTTGGGGCTAGAAAAAGCTTCCAATGGTCAGCTGATTTCAGTCTTCTCTAGTAATAGGACACCTGGAAAGTTTGTCCTTGTTTATATAGTTCTTAAAGAGGGAAAGTCCATGATGTGTACGTTAATAGTAGCCTATAGTCTGTTAAGATAATTTAGTCTTTAAAAAAATTTAATAAATTCCTCGTTAGCATTTTTTTCCAAAGAAGCAGCATAGTAAATGGAGACCCTAACTGCAGAGAAGTTAAAATAAACCCCAATGGAATAAGAATCCCTTCTCTGCAGCCAAACCCCAAACTCAGGAAGCTCAGAAAGCTGGGACTGAGTCTGGAAAGTGCAGCCAGGGTGTGTGTGTGTTCGGGGTGGTGGATAAGGCGGGGACTGTGAGCTACAGAATCCTGGAGTGGACTTTGAGGTTCCCATCAAGGGGTGGAGAGCTTGGCCTTACCTCATATGGAGCCTCAGTATAGTAATGAGGACCCCAAACATTCAGAGCATTGGCTTACAGTGTATCACACTGTACTTGTGTACTTGTGTCTACTGGACATAGTTTCAGTGTGCTATTCATACACAGAAATAGAAAGAAAGAAGAGATGTTATTTGGTATGTATAGTAAATCTACCTATTTTCCAGACTGCACTCAAAGATTGTGACATGAGCAGTGGTATGGCTATAATTTGCGCTATTTGTGCCCATTTATCCAAATTATGGTAAGTGTACTAGGTTAAAACCGTGGTGAGTCTGATGTATTCTTTTTTTCCATTTTGGTTTTTATAACATCCACATCAATCTAAGTCGCTATTTAGATAGGCAACTCTACTTTATTGGCCATGAGTGAGGAATAAAACCTGGTAAGTGGATGCAACACACTTCTTTCTCTTCAGTCAGCAGGCTCTGTACTGAAATGGCAAAGAGTCTTTGTTCATAGGATGGGCGCCATGCTGTGGTGATACAAATGGATTTTTCACAACATGCAGAAGTGCTTATAAATAGATAGGTTTCACCAACAAGTAGCTCATTCAGGCATGTGCTCAAATATAGTAGCTGCATTCATTAGACAGACATTTCCACTAATCCCAAGACTATACTAATAAAAGAGTAATCCCGTATGGGCTAAGGCAGTGCTGGCTTGCTTTTAACTCTTACAGAGTCTTTCACAGACCAGGCCTAATAATAATTGTAGCTGCCTTAGGTTTTCACCAAGTGAACTGTAAAGCTGAACTTATCTTGGAATATTTTCTTCTCTTACATTTTTCAACTTCAGTAGCTTAAGTGGACAAAGAGGTACTTTTTACCCTAGATATGCAGTTTGCAGCAAAGCCATTTTAGAAACCAATTGTGTGTGTGTGTGCCCATTGTGTGTGTGTTCTCATTACTTATTATAAAGCACCTTCTCTTTCACCCTGGTTATTAAAGTGGTTAATAAGGAGTTTGCTTGAGTGGATTTTGTCTTCTCCTTTGACTTTAGAATAAAAAAAGCGAATGTCAATTTTGAGAAGAAGTGTAAACTCCTAGTAGAGTGGGTGTACCTTTTAATGTGGGCCTTTTCTTCCTCGGCTTAGCTGTGTTCGCCAAGGTCTTTACTCCTCCCCCAGTACTCAGAACTGGCTCTAATTAGTTCACTTAGCAAAGTCTAAAACTTTCCCCTGCCAGTGATGTCAGATCTGCCTTCCTTTTTATTATTCTGACTTCTTATAAACTGCAGTGACCTGTGAGTCAACCACACCATCTCTTGGCCCTGCTCCAACACTGTGATCTATGAAAAGGGACTCCTGCCAAAGACTGTGAGACAGAAAACTGATATTGAAGTACTCTTCTGAATGGTAAGCATCAGCCCTTTTGAATCCTTGTGTGTTACTGCCAGAAAGGGATTGGGGAGGTGAATCACGTGGA